AATTTTAATTTTTTTTTAATTTACTGGGATTTTCTAAATTAAATGTCAGTCCCAGTCTCTTCCTCTCGGACAGGGTGGGTAATTTCCCCAATTAAAACAAACCTTTTTGGTATGCGGATACTAAAATCTGATTACAGCTGTATAGTCATCTTCTTTTTTTTCTTCTCTTGCTTGGGTACAAATTTTGATCTTGTTGAGACACTACAGGAGAAGTCCAGCATTAGTTGCAGCAGAAAGGAACAGAAAAGCGACAGAACAGCCCATTTTTTTCTTTTCTTTTCTTTTTTTTAACCTGACAGGAAGTGTGTGGAGGAAGTGAGGTGACAAAGCAGACCCACCTGTGAGCTGCTGCTAACAAAGGAAGCATGGAGGAGGCAGGAGATCACTTGAAGACTAATCCAGTTTCTTTGCTTTAAAATTGTGACGCATAGAAAGTAAACAAAATGGCTTTAGATCCAAGAACCAGCTGGATTTGTGGACGTTTCTGGGTCATAATGAGCTGCTGACGATGAGCTGATGGTTGGATTTAGCTTCAGCTACCTCTCTGGCCTGCTTGGACTGTGGTGGATGTCTGTGACTCTGATGAAGTCTGGTTAAGGTAAGTCGCCCATATATATATTTTGTTTTAATTTAGAAATGTCCAAGCTTCTCCCCTGTCCTCTTGGCTCAGTTTAAGGTGTACTATCCCTCATTCCTGGCCTCCTTAGCCCCTCACCAACACATTTAAGCAACACAATTGAACTAACGTAACTAAAGTGGAATACAAATGAGCTTTCTTGAACTGGAATTATTTGGAAGTTTATCTTAATTAATTAACAAAATATATTTATCAGGAGCCCCCAAAATATTTAATGTTCTTGTTTGTTTGTTTCTGACTTTTAGTTTCTGATTCTGTTGGTTGAATGGATTTTTGACTGTGAGATGTTTCCATGTGGTTGATTCTGAATGGGGTTGTATAAAACCTGCGTTAAATAATAGAGCTGAAGTTGACTCTCATCTATCTTGTGTGCTTCTGGTGCCCAACTCAATTTGACTCGTATAAATTTTAGGGAAACCTGGATACCCTAACGCTACTTGGTTATTAGGATTTATCTTATGAGCACTATAAAGGTCACAATCATGATGTCCTGATCAGGTTTTTCTAGTTGTTTTGTTGTTGTATTTTTGGCTCCTGATGTGTTCCAAGTCATTAATATTAACAGAGTGCTGATACCGGACAACACTGTCCTACATAATACACACTGTATTGTAATGCACAAGTATTGTAGAAGATTAGCTGTAGTTCCTGGTTGCACCACCAGGTGGAGCCTGTTCCTGTTTCATGCTGTGGTGACCAATGGAGGCTGGCACTGTCCTGTTGAGCATTTTAGGAATTTAGGAAGTAAAGCAGCACCTTGACAAAGTTTTTTTTTTTTTTTTCTGAGGCTTAATGACCAACTACTGTCACATCAAGCTGGGATAATCTATGTCAGTGTTCCTGCTGGTGTATGAAGCAGCTGCTGGAAGTTATTTCACATCCACATGTGGCAACGGATGTAAACAAACAACCAATCTTAGCTTCCTGTTGATTCTGATTAAATTAAAATTGCCATGATCAACCCTGATGTGTTATTGGGATTGAGTTTGGGATATCCTTCATGTGAAAAGGTCCCTCCAGTGTGCCTTCAGCAGGTCTGTCTTTGGCTAGATAAAAGAATTCTGTTTTCAACTGAGCTAAATCTGACTTGACGATGCCTCGTTTTCACCCTTTTCAAATTGATTTTTGATTTGTTTGAGTTGTGTGAGCGCTGTACTGAGTTGGGACTAGAAGCTGAAGTCCACTGATGTACGTGAGGTGTTTGGAGGATTTCTGTAGAAAACAACAAGAATTTTACTCAAAGCACCATGAGCAAAATTCTCAACCTGTAGGAAATATTCTGCATTGCATTTATTGCAAAGAGTGCAGACAAAGCACAGCTGGAAACATCGTTATTTTTGTTTGAGCATCAATAACTGAAAGACTGCAAAAACAGAATATCTCCAAGAAACTCGTCCTGTACCATGACAGCTGCTGAAAGCCTCCCATTCCTGCAGCACTGGGCAATAAGTAAGGAGTCAAAAATTATACGAAAATTTGCACCTTTCCTGTTCAGTCATTTACATAATGTATGACATTACCAGTGTGTGTGTGGGGACTGACAGAAAGGTACCAGTTAAAAAGGATTATCCTGCTGCTCTGCCAGAGTCCTGCTGGAGTCACACTGCGGAAAATGTATGATTATGGTAATGAATTGTACACATTAGACTCCCAGTGTGCATTATTAACATTTGTGCTTCCTCTCCTCTGTGTCTGGAAAAAATGCGTTTTGCTTTTTCAGCTGGATGTTTGAGCTTCACTGTGCAGATGTTTATGCAGAGTTTGACGCTGAACTTCACTCAATTTGAGCACAACTCTTTGACTTCTGGCAAAGAAGCAGCTTCAATGTGTCAATACGTCTTCCTGCAGGACAAATACGTTGGTTAATTAGAGGAAGCACATGGTGTTAGTTAGGTTACCCACCTGAAGGTGTTTTAGCCAATTGTAGACTTACACCTACTCTTTGTTTTTTTGAAAAGCAAACATAGACTGTAAGTCGGCACACCCTTAGTTATGCATCACTTTCAGCCTCAACATCATTTAAATTGGTGGAATTATATAAAATTTCAGTTGTCATGAATGGAGAAATTAGTTAGAGGGAGCAAAACCTTTTTAATACCAGGCTTTAGACATGTTTATTCCTGCTGTAAAGTCAGAGATTTTAACATGCAAGTCTATGGAGATAGTTTGTGAGTGTTGCATGTGGTGCACTGATACAACAACTGTGACATTTTAAGGTACGACATTGAGATATTATTCTAAAGTTGAAACAATGCTGTGATGTCTGTGTCCTCTGTGAAACTGCTGCATTCAGGCTTTTGGTTTCTATAACTTGTCATCCAACTCCAGCACTAATTGTCTCCTTACATGTCTCTTTGTGTGTCTGTTTATTTTTGTTGAACAAGTCATTGCAGACCTGTTGCTGATGTCATCGTCCATCGCCTCCAGTGCCATAAAAAAAATAACTGCACTCTTGTTTTCTGAATTTTGGCATCGACTTAGTCCTGAAGTATCGGTTCGAGTGAATTCCCTACGAGGCAGAGTCGGCTTTCACGACTCACTGAGCTTGTTAACATCGCCACAGTGACATTTAATGAGTGGCCGCATGCCGCATAGCCTCCATAAACCAAAAACAGATTGTCCACTGTCTGCAGAAATGAAGATGCATTTGGCTAATGGCTAAAGTCGATTCTCCGCCCTGATGATCGTGTTTACTTCTGCTCAGAGACTGTGTTTCCCTGTGAGAGTGTTGGAGATGTTCATAATTTATCTGGTTTACACAGTCTGTCAGCTCATTTCTGTCTCCAGCTCCGATACAGACTCAGACAGCTGTGTCAGGCCTCGTCTGGTACGCTGTGCAAAGATGTGCAATCTCTGTGATTTTAAGCACTTGCGACTGTATAATATCTCAGCCTCTCCTTCCTTTTCTGTGCATTCAACGAGGCCTTTCGCAGGACAACATGTTACGTCGTGTTCTGGGGTTTTCTAAAAGCTGCTGTGTGCTTCACGTTTCGGAGACGGCCAGCATTTTTCAGTATTTTCTACCCGAACTTCATCTTCTAGCTTTATAAGATAACAATCTGTGCGATCTCGTTTTCACATTATTACCGCGTTTGCTCAGTTTTGTGCTCACAGCTGTCGGAGGTTTTCGCACATGTCCTCCCACAGATCACCTGTCAGTGTGGGCTGTGCTCGTCTTTTATTCTTTGATTTTCTGTTCAACCACGGTGGCATTGTGCTGTCGCTGCTCGTACTGCAAACCTTGTTCTTACATTAATTCCAAATACTCACAGGCATAATCCTCAGCTACAGTTGGCAGTAAAATGTGCAGTTGTGTTTCATGAATGTGTAGAAATTATGTCTGTGAAAAATGGGCTTTCTACAGTTTAGTAGATCAGAGCTCTCTTCTGTCTTTTCTTGCCACTACTTGCAGAAATGTTTCCAAAGGAAAGGAAACAGATGGCTGGTGCTGTGAATTACAGAGGATTTCTTTATTATCTTGGAAAGTCAGCATTACTTCCAATTTGTCGACTGTTGTGTTGTAGAAAAAAGAAAATTCTGTTTTCTGTCTTTAGGTGCGAACATTAAACATTTGTAAAATATTTTCAAAGCCCAGAAAAGCGACGTTTTGCTTGTTAATTTGTCCAAATATATAATTGGATGAGCACCTGAATGAATACATCTACCAACTGATCTCTAGCCGAATGGTTGTGTCTACACAACATCTACTGCCAGTCTGTGGAGTTCTTGCATGTCTTGCACCGATAGTATTTTGCAGGAAACAACAACGACCACCTCCTTTGTTGTGAACCTACCTCCAGGTTTACAGAGGATTTGGATCATGCAGTACGGCAGCCCTGCCAGTATTTTTATTGGATTATCCATTTTAATGACGACGCTCGTCTCCCTGCATGCAAACGTTTCATTGAATCAATTCTACGGTTTTGAGAAAACATGGAAGACGCATCCTTTGCCCTATTGATTGTGATTTTTTTTTTACAGAAATACAAAGACGCCGGAGCGCTTTTTCTCCTGTAGCTGAACGACGGTGAGCTGGAGCCACATCATTATACTCTGCAGAACAGGCTGATGAAGCGAGACAAAACAAGCGAGGGCAATAAATAACTCATTTTAAACTATTCTTTAAGAACGGCCTCCAAAGTGAGGTTGGATTCATATTTGTTGGGAATATTTCTACTACATGAAGAGTTACGTTTTTAGAAAAATGTCTCTACAATTTACAGAAAAAACACTGGCTCTAGAGAGGACTTTTACAGGTACAGTGAGGCATCAGCAGCGTCACCACTAGAGGCTGCTAAAACCTCCACCCTGGACCTTTAAGTTGTCCTTACATGCTGACTGCAGCACATCCGCCCTCACTGACCTCGGGCAGCTGCTCTCCTCTCTCCAGGACGTCCTGCAGGTAGCGTCCTCTGTCGCTGTGGGACTGCAGCTCGGTGCACAGCAGCTCGCCCAGAGTGACGCGACGAAGGCCGAACCTCTCCTCCATCCGCTCACACTGGAGAGCCTTACCTGAACCCGGACCACCTGAAGGACACATAGAGGTAGACGCAGAAATCAGTCGACTGATGAACAATCTATGGAGTGAGAAAACGACGACGAAGGAAACTGAAAGGTGAAAGAAGAGCGTGAAGGAGGGAGGCACTGGGAAATGGTGAATGTGAGAGAAGGTCTGTATGAGGGTATTAATGAAAGTAGGTGAGTTAAAGAGGGAACAGAAAACAGAAACCAGACGTGAACTGCTTCAAAATCAAACCATGTTTTTGCCTCCCAAAACATGGCAGGCAAAAACATGGGTTTTCCATTCACAGGTCGATTTGAGATATTTGACTTCCATAACAAGTCGTCCTTCAGAATAATGGACATAAAACATCCAAAATACACATTCAGGTTTTTTATTTACTCCACCTGCTCTGTTTGTATCTGCAGATTTGAACTATAATGCATATTCTTTTTTAAAACTATTGAAGCCTTTTACATACAGCAAACTTTCCTGTTCTTTTGTTCATCATATATTCTGAAGGTTTTTACAGAGAGGTTTGTTAATTATTCACCGCCTGATCAATGGAACATTTTATTCATGAAAACTTTGCCTCTTGGCTCTAAAATGTCAACAAAACAAGAAGAGTAACATAAATTGAAGCTAGCTTCATATATTTTCAGATTCCTTTTCTGAAAATAAATGGAATCAAGTGTTTAAAAATTAAAATTTCAGAAAACAATACAGTGCAAATCAAATAATTGCCACATTGCAAGTAATCAACAGTGGACATGTCATGGTGTTATCTGTTAGTTAAAAATGCTACTCTTTTCACTTGTATTGTTTCCAATAAAATGCTGGAAAATATAAAGTTAATACAAAGCAAATAGTTCATTTACTTTTGTTTTCCAAGTTTGCAAACTTCAACACAAGAAATTTGAGAAAAATTTTTGTTAATGTAAACCAGAATGTTTCAAGGTTTGGAAACTTTTTTTTTTCAAGCTAAATTTAAACTGAACTTAAACTTAAGCTAACCTAAACTTATACACACAACAAGTACAAACAGAATGTGGAGAAGAATACTTTTGGCCATGTAGTGCCTTTTTTTTTTCTTCAAAACTGCCTGAAAAGAAAATTTACAAGAGTTGAGAAAACTGAATGCTTGAATTTTTTTTTTTAGGTAAAAGTCAAGTCAAGTGTACATATAGAGGGCATTTCAAAACAAAAGTATTAATCACTGTGCATGTACAGCGTTCAAGAACAGAAACCAGACCTGAAACATGAAATAAACAGATATAAAATACAAAATAAGACTTCACTAGTTCTTGATTGTGAGAATTGTGAGTGTAAATGCGATATCGTTATCTGAAGGTGTCACTTTGGACTGTGGGAGTTCATGATGGGATGTCATGAATCAAGAATTGTTTTAGCTGCAGCCTTGAAACAGTCACAAAGAACACACTCAGGTAGCATGCATTCACACAAAGCAGTAATAAAAACGCTCATTTGTTTTTAGTAATTACTTTTTAGCTGGTTTCATATTTTACATTTGGAATACACTATCTGCGTTCAGCCGCTGCACTGTGCGGCTCGCAGGTACTATCTCAGGTTAACTGCATTACACGACCATGAAGCTGAGTGCAGCAGTGATTTATCAAAAGCAGCCTTGAGCCCAGTAATAAAACTCAGGACGCGACTTCATCAATATTCTCCTTGAGCCCGAGTATCGCTGCATTGAAAAACAAACGTCCTCATCACCATTTCTTTAGAGGCAGATATCGGCGGTGGTGGTGGTGGTGGTGGTGGGGGACTGGGGGTTCGTCTCACACAGAAATGACAGCGAAGTCACAAAGGTCTGGAGCAAATCGAGGAGGTTTGGCTCCAGATTCATTCATTCCACATTCAGCACATAAGCGCTGATTTAATTCATTTCTCCAGCATCAAACTGCTGCACGCCCACTCACTGGAAGTATTCCTCTGCCGCCTGACACCTCTGCCAAGAAGTAAAATAATGACCCAGAAAGCCCCGAGAAGCTTGTTAGCAACTCTTCTAGTTGGTCTGCTTTGTATAAACCGGATCTGGGAGCAGAGACGGTTCCCTCATCAGACTTTCAGATTAACTGGATCTGATTGTCATCGCTTTAGAAAAGATGAGTCTTATTTGTGCTCCTACTTTCTGCCTGAGTTACTTTTGTTCGTGCATTTCTGAAAAAATTCAATGCACTTTACTAAAAAGGAGGCTGCACTTTTTGGAAGTGTGACATTTTCTTCACATTTGTTAAAATCAGGCAAATTGAAGCAGCAGCATGGTGAGCCAGTTTATTGATGCTAACGCTAGCAGGGGTAATAGTCACTGTGTGCGCCATCTTAATTACATCAAAGCCATGGCATTGAGGATTTATTACAATCTCGAGCAGGACGGGAATGTGTGTACCAAGTTTTCACAGTTGTTGAGATATTTCACAGCATCATGGTAGATGTACAGGAAAAGTAATCTCATCCCCTGGGACCCATCGATGTCAAACTGTCATCCAGCGTTGGACTGAGCTCTCCATTGACATAACTGGTTTAAATTTAGTAGGTAAATACTAATAGATATCACAGCATGTTGCTTAAAAAAAAAAAGAAATCCTACAAATATCTTAAAACTCACTCTTGGATTTGATTTAACCTTCATTCTTTGTGCTTTGTTTTTTTGTTCTCTATGTGAAGCATTTTATAATCAGTGTTTTGAACAGTGTAACAAAAAGCTGCTTCCTCACTAGTTAAACTCTTCTAATGACGTGGATCTGGTTAGATCTGACACATGGGAGCTGTAAACAGTCTTCCCCTTTTCATTTTTGTGTAAACCTGAACAGAATAAAACCAGAGAAATAAAGAGAGAAGTCTGCAGCTTTTTCAAGTCAGTCAGTTTGCTGAGCTTTGGCAGACGTTTGCGCTCCACTTTTTGTTTCTCCAGTTTGGTGGAGGCTTAGATTTGAGAAGCCTGAACCGTCCCTCCATGTGTGAACAGCATTGTCACAGCGTCGTCCTCGACAAGAGCCAAGCCGACAGATGGATGATATCAGAGAGAGATGGAGCAGCAGACAGAGATGAAGATGAGAGAAATAAGGCAAAGAAAGCAGAGGAAGTCTCCTTAGTAACTTCATCTGTGAATCCAGGCCTGTTACATAACTCTGCTCAGCCTCAGTAGGAAATACTTCTACGTAAAACTAAATCAGTGTAAAAGACAAATGTGCTGCAGCAGTGACAAGCTTCTCGCCTCCACTAACCGAGATGCCTCAGATCTCTACGTTGGCTTCGGATGCTGGCAAAGATCAGTGGCAGCAAACTGTCTCTCAAAGCGACAAACCAAAACCGAAAGGCTCAATGAAAAAATGCCAAGAGATTTTTCATTTTTGTTACCAACCACCAAGTTGGAGACACTTTGGAGAACGTTGTCCACGGATGTTAGTCTGAATTATTCTGAATGATAAACATAGACTGTACAAATGTGAACTTATTATCTGGACATGTGACATTCTGCAGAGAACTGAGGTTTGGTTTTAATGTTTTTGCCATTTTTTTGTGCTGTTTTTAGTCACAAGTTCAAGAAACACCTTCAAACATATCGTACTTTCAGTCTTTATATCTTTGTAGCAGAAAAACAAATGAAAGAGGTGAAGTAAGCTATTAAGAGGTGAGGAACTTTTATTTCAAATGGCTTTCATTATCAAATTAGTTGCAAAGAGTTGATCAAACCTCTCTGAAAAGTTTTTCTCTCCATGCAAACATGTAAATGGGCTGCAAGGAAACTAATGTTGGGTCTCCTGAAGAGTTTTGAGGCTTGTTTCTTCTTCGTTGCCTTTCCGAGATAAAAAGTGTCCAAAGTGGATTAACAGCAGGCGCTGGCACGCCTGGTGCTCCAGCTACTTACAGAATTACTGAATCAACGTTACAGGATGTGTTAGAAAAAGTGTCCACCAGATGTATAGATAGGACCTTTTGTTGCAACTGTCTGGTGTTGACAAGAAGCATGTAACACCAGCTGGCAAAAGTTTTTACCAGTTTTTAATGGTTAGTAAAGTCATTTTAACCGACAGAATCAACAGTCGGCACTGTTTGGAGAAGTAGATCTGCCAAGTTACTGTAAACTCTGTGCTGCTACTTGACTTGCATTACCTGAATGGCTTCGGTAAGGCATTTTTTTTATTTTTTTTTTTTAAATTACATTTTTTTTTCGCTAAATGAGTGAGATCTTGATGTTTTATTCCAGGCAGAAATATTACTGCAGTTAGTGGATAGATTACTATGAATTACACATGTAAATATATACATTGGGCTGCAGGGTGGTGCAGTTGGTAGCACTGCTGCCTCGCAGCAAGACGATCGCCGGTTCGTGTCCCGATGGGGGCACCAGAATCTTTCTGCGTGGAGTTTGCATGTTCTCCCCGTGCAGCGTGGGTTCTCTCCGGGTTCTCCGGCTTCCTCCCACACAGTCCAAAAACATGTTGAGGTTAATTGGTGATTCTAAATTGTCCGTAGGTGTGAATGTGAGTGTGCTTGGTTGTCTGTCTCTAAGTGTAGCCCTGTGATAGACTGGTGACCTGTCCAGGGTGTCCCCTGCCTTCACCCTGAGTCAGCTGGGATAGACTCCAACCCCCCATGACCCTAGTGAGGATTAAGCGGTGTATTGATAATGGATGGATGGATGGATGGATGGATAGAATATATACATTTATGGTTCCCAGAGGATGAATCCTCCTGATGCCAGTTTAGCCTCTTGTAGCATGTTCACACTAGTTACCTGAATGTTGGTTTCGTCTGTAAAAATAATGGCAGGGAGTTGAGCACTGCCATTAAAATAGACAATCTACCAAAGAGATTCTAGCAGGGCTGCTTCACTCCATGATCCACATTCTTTGCAGGACTTAAAATGTTCAGTGTGGCAGTTTGCTAACCTGACGGCTGCTGTTGTTTCCTGTAAACTGCAGCTTTTGGAATTCGTCTGTGACTCTGGAGTTGCATTCTTTCAAACTATTTTATTGTCTAATGTTTTAACTGTTTT